GTAATGGAGCACTAATTTCTTTAAGTATACGTCTAATCTGATAGTACACGTGAAATAATATAACAGACTTATATAGTTTAAATCCTGGGGCATTAACAGATACACCACATCCCGTTGTGGCACACCATACGGCAAAGTTTAACTGATTCTGCCAAAATTGCATCGGACGGTTAAACCAATCGTCCACCATTTTATCGTTAGTTGCCGTGAAACTGTATTTTTCAAAGATATCGTGGAATTTAACGGTAAACTCAGCACCAGAAGCAGTTACTATAATCGATTGATTAGTAATGTGAGTCGATTTCATATTTAAGTTATGATATAGTATCATTGTATATTTAATATGTATGTTACACTCCCGGGAATAACAAATGGTCAGTCTATTGAACTGCTTCATACTATCGATAACTGGGATGGACAACTGGAAGTAGCTCTATGCGATGTAACGTATTACCCACTGTGGACCAATATAAGTGCTGCGAGAGATAATAATGAGTTGTCTATAACAGATAAACAAAATATTATTGAAAAAACATTAATATACCTGATGGGTATTACAATATATACTCACTCAATGATAAACATTTTAAGCCTAATGGAATTAGTATCACACAAAATGAGTGGAATGGGATAGTGAAAATCGGCACTGGAGAAAAAGGTATATGGATTCATGAGAACTTAGCAATTACACTTGGATTTACACAGGTAGAAAGATCAAGAAACTTTATATTATCAATATACAGGACAACATCTGATGGAGATGCATTACCCGATTTAGTTCCCTATAAAGATTTGTGCATCCATCTTGATCAGATCAGTACGACGGATAATATTCAACAAGAAAGTCCTTCAACTCTACTCAGATGTGTTCCAGTGAAAAATGAAAAATACAATAGTGGTAGAACGGAATCTTTCTCGTCATTACAATATAAAAAATTAAAGCGTGGTATTATTTCAGACCTCAAAATTTCTGTATTAGATGTAAAACACCAACCTGTACATATAGGATACTTAAGTGTAACACTCCATATTATATAATGGTTGATTCCATATTTAAGTTATGATATAGTATCATTGTATATTTGATATGTATGTTACACTCCTGGGAATAACAAATGCTCAGTCTATTCAACTGCTTCTTACTATCGATAACTCGGATGGACAACTCGAAGTCGCTCTATGCGATGTAACGTATTACCCGAGGTGGACCAATATAAATGCTACAAAATATAAATATAGTAATGAGATATATATAAGAGAAGAAAATAAAATCATTACTGTACCTTATGGGTATTACAGCGTATGCTCACTCAATGATGAAATTTTTAAGCCTAATGGAATGAGTCTCACACAAAATGAGGCGAATGGGATACTGAAATTAGACGCTGGAGAAAAAGGTATATATATATTCATGAGAACTTATCAGATAAACTTGGATTTGCACGAATAATAAATGATGATTTCAGATATATGAGTTTATACAAGGCAACATCTTATGGATCTAAATTACCCGATTTAGTTCCCTATAAAGAGTTGTTCATCCATCTTGATCAAATAAGCACGACGGATAATATTCAACAAGAAAGTCCTTCAACTTTGCTCAGATCTATTCCAGTTAAAAATGAAAAATATAATAGCGGTAGAACGGAATCTTTCTCAACATTACAATATAAAAAATTAAAGCGGGGTATTATTTCAGACCTCAAAATTTCTGTATTAGATGTAAAACACCAACCAGTACATATAGGATACTTAAGTGTAACACTCCATATTAAAAATAATGGTTGATGCATCAGGCCCTGGAACACTAAGACAATGTAATACAATTGCGCTTTCCGATCTCGGAGACACAGAAGGATTCGGTCAACCCGGTACCAATGGTAAGTTATAAGCTTTACACTTACACGATAATGTATACAAGCGGAAAGAAGTCACATTCACGGGTAATCTAGAAGATTTAAGCGATGTCGACGTTAGTAGACTTATTAAAAACACTTCGTACAATATTACTCGCAACGACGATAATAAATGGACTATGATCGAAGCAAACATCGAGTGGCTACTGAATATCGTCATTACCCCACCTTATGTGATGATGGGTAAGGGACATAATTTAACTAAGATAATAAATAGTGGCTTATATCCCGTCAAAACGAAAAAGTGTGTTAGTCACTCCCCTGCCAGAAAACCCAGGTCATATGTTATATAGTCGTCCGGCCTTAAAAAATGTTACTTTAAATTTGGTTACTGAATTCAATGAAATTAAAGATAACTTGAGTGCAATACCTAATAGTTCCACGCTTATTATTGAAGTCTTGTTCGGAGATGCACCGGAAGATGCCTTCGAAATATTACCAGGTCTATCGATTAAATGGCTCAAGAAACACGAGCGTCAACGTTGCAGTGTTATTCATATCGGAGCATCGCCCGTTGCAACCCTCGAGGGGGTCCAAATTATTAAAAGTGACAGCATTTCTCTTTCTAAGATATTATTGCCGTATAATATACATTTGATAAGATTGATGTATAGTCTCAAAACACTTAAGCAAGACCAATTAAAGACTATTATATGATCGTAATATACACTATGAGTTTATATCCGGCGCTCGGTGAAGCATTTGAAAAGATGGAAACTGTTGATGGATTTCGATTACATCAAATAAGCGACATAAAACATCGAATAGGGAAGGATAGGGAGTTGAGACTTGGATTGTATAAAAAGTATCGCAGAGCCGTGAATGCTCTGGACGGAGTTGACACCGCTCTTGTAGTATCTGGCATGGGACTCGGTGTAGCGGGTATCGGTTTACTATCAACTATAATCGCCGCGCCTATCGTGCTCGGCATGGAAATAACCGCTGGAGTCTCGGGACTGGCAGGAATAGCGATAAAATTCATTTCTCGTAGGTTGCAAAAGAAAGCATTAAAACATGATAGTATTCGGATACTCGCCGAAGCAAAGTTGAACAGCATTGAGGATCATATTTCGACAGCAATGGCCGATTGTAAGATATCCGAGAATGAGTTTCGTTTAGTGCTGTCGGAACTCACCAAATACAACGAAATGAAGCAGGAGATTCGATCAAAATCTCGTAAGACCAGTGGTATTAGCGAAGACGAGAAAAAAAAGTTCATAGAACAGGGGAGGCAACAAGCGCGTCAATTATTCCGTGCCAAAACCAAAGAACTGGTTGGAGATTAAAAATAGATTGTTTACTATCGTTTGATCACATTTAGACAAATGCTTACATAAATATATAATAATGGAGAAAACTGTCAAATGGAAAGAATTACCACAAGGTTTTTATTATATCAGTGATGTCAAACCAACCAAATACGGTTATCAATTGTTTCTTATCAATTTACAAAAAGAGTGTAGTTATATAGTCTGGTCTCCTAGTAAAATGAACGAAGAACTTAATAAAAATGTTGAATATCGCTTTATCGATAAAAATAATGAAGAATATTTTTATTACCATTTAGACTCATCTAAAGCAATGATTGGCCCCTGGTATTGGTGAGCTAGAGCCAATCTCATGACTATCATTGAATCGCATAATCATTTTAGCATAAAAAATTCCCTCTGTAGTGGTGGTATAGGTATATGAATCCTGCTCCAGTGGAAGTGAGCCAGAACCCCCATTACCTATACTACTGAAGTGGTTTAGGGGAAATCTTTAATGAACACCCCTCGTACCTGCAAAACTAATTAGTTTACAGGATAATTATGATATAATTTGTGCACTGTCACATAACCATCCAAAATACAATAGGGAAATATTTAGGAAATATTTCTAATTTTTACAAGCTGTCATAACTTACACATTTTATAATAAAGCAACATTAATATTTATATATTCTTCGTGATGGCAATCACAATATGCATTAAGGAGTAATGCAGGATAAGTATACAAATATAAAAAATATCTAGGATTTTACTAGATTTGTCAACATTAGAGGAAAATTTTGATAAAATTTGTATCTTAGAATCTTGAACTTTTTCGACCATGCCGGATTCTCTAATGGATGCTATCTGATATGTCGAGGCGGTTTTGTCTCAACCGAATGTCATGGATCAAGTCATATGTGAAGAGACCATTCCTGTGCTCAGTCAGCAGCTAAAAAGATGAAAACTTTTGATAATTTACAAGAATCACAGTCGTGCAATACGGTCTCTGTTGACTCTGAACATACCCCTGACATGTCAGTGTCAATCTCGATGGCTAGTAACAGCAAACGTCTATCTGCTATCAATGATATGAGAAACTTTATGGCTAAGCAGCTAGACGGGATCGAAGTTAGAGTGACTCAAAAAACTCACTGATATTCTACAAGGTGAGACTTTGAAGTTGCGACAAGATTTAAAGCTGCGACAAGATTTAAAGCTAAAATATCTGAAACTGAAAGCGGTAGAGAGTGCTTGTGCGCAGAAGCTGTGTAAAACATGCCGAAAAGGTATTTAGGAGTTTGCAGACGTTGTAATATTGAATGTGTAATGCGGAACCTACCATTTGATGCGCGTGAGGCCAAAGACAATAATGTCACATGTAATATTGTAAACAGAGTGATCCATGATGGTTTGAAGCTCGCCGATGTCTGTACAGCTCTTGCAGTCAGGAAAAAGTCCTCGGATGATAAGCCGGATTTTGTCATTTTCAGTTTGGAGACTGCAGCCCAAAAGAAAAAACTTTTGCAGTGTAAAAAGGATCTGAAGAAAAGTAAAGACTTTTCCCGTGTCTACATTGATTCAGCTCTCACTCAAGAAGAGTTGATTAATAGGTCGAACACTCAGGCAGTAATCAAAGAATTCGGCAAGTCGAGTAACTTCAGATTTTATGGGAAATGCCTAGTGACAGCTAAGGAATAGGTTTTTGAGCATAGGGTTTTGGAACACTAGCTGGGGACCGCCAACAATAAATCATTCCATGAAAGTGTTGTTCACAATTTGGATTATGATGTGTTTGGTGTTTGGTGTCACTCCTGACGCTTGTCTGTTTCAGCGGGTAAACTCGGCCTACACTGGGGGTTGCCTGTGCCTCCTGTCGCTGTCCGATAGCACGTATATGCTGCACCCATCAGGGGAACTCTTCAACAGGATCAGTATCCTTCGCCAGCTGGAAAATGGCATAACCGTGATCAGACTGATGGTCATCATAAACATAAACCCAGTCAGATGTTCAACTGAAGTCATAAGGTTTTTGTTCATTCTGTCAAGTCAAAATCAACAGATAATATTCCCTTGAGAGAGGATGCTTTCTCATTGGGTTGTCCATATATGCAAATTTTGCATGTTCCATGTAAGCGGAAGTAAGTGCTAATAAGTTTGTTATTAGGTTAGCTAGAGACATGGGATCATTTTGGGGCAGTGCAAACACCTTTCTAGGTAGTATGACATGTTCACAGAAAGTGCTGTAACTGTTTGGAATCATTCCTATCTTACAGTGGCAACATTTGATGTCACTGATTGACATGATAAATAGGATGTCGTTCACAATCAGTAAGTTACAAGATTGCCTAATGTAATGCAAAAATATCACAGTTTTTTGCCCCAAAGTAATCCTAGCGAAAACAGTCACCTGTCGTGGCAATGCCCACTAAAGCGGACTGCTTTTATTACCATGGAATGTTGTGGAATCCCAATACTACAGTCAAGGGAATTCCCTTGCTGCTCACATGTATTGTCATGCACAGGGCATTTAGTGAAATTCACGCATGTGCAAATGGTATGAATCCGCATAGCGGATTCTTACAAAAGTTTGCAAATTGGTTTTTCGATTCATACCTCAATGAACCAAAAAAAACCACAGTCAATCCTTAAGTAAACTGCATAAAATCTTTTCTCCAGCTTATTGACAAGAATTCTTTTTGCAAGATACTTTCTGCCATTTTTTTTAAGTTAGTTTCTTAGTAATGGTTTGTCAGCCTTTGTACTTTATTTTTTAAATGCCTTGACAATTATGAAGATGTTACTGAGGTTTTGAATGCTGGTTACCAAGGATTCAAGTTGGAAAACACAGTCTTGTATGAAGAACAAACCAGTTCCTCTGTGCTGGAAATGAGAACTTCTTATGTGAATAACATAGGTAAAGTAAGTGTGCTGAGTTACGGTGTGAGTGTCTATTGTTTTACACTGCAGTTAGCAATATTCTCGCTATATCATGGTGGCCTATATATATAATCAAGTCTGGCCAGTTGGTTTGGTGGTTGACTGCATGATCCATGCCATTGGGGCACAATGAAAGAACATCTGGGACACGTAACCCGCCCATCTTTAACTCAAGTTGGCACTTATGACAAAAATGGGTTTCTTTGGATGTATTCTGCACCAGTACCCACACAGAGGTATTACTGCACTATACTGTGTTTGTCCAGTTTGCAAGTGCATCTGCTAAGGATTATAAAAAATAAAGCACTACTGAATATGACATGGGATGACAGTCTGTGTCTCTACCTTCTCACTTTTACAGGTTTGTGCTGCATGCGTGGAGATACTGACTACAGTGTGTACCGTGTTGCTGAGGCAGGAACTATTTCGGAGCCTATTCTTTTGGAAAACAGGCATATGTTTGGGGAAACACCAACATCTGTCTGTCTCAGGTAGTGTGCAGTAGTAGACTGTGTAGATGTAGACCTGGGGCACATGTCAGGCAAGCACCATCATTTGCCTGTCTCGGGTAGTGTGCAGTAGTAGACTGTGTAGACATGTAGACCTGGGGCACATGTCAGGCAAGCACCATGATTTGTCTATCTCGGGTAGTGTGCAGTAGTAGACTGTGTAGACATGTAGACCTGGGGCACATGTCAGGCAAACACAAACATCTGTCTGTCTCGAGTAGTGTGCAGTAGTAGACTGTGTAGATGTAGACATTGGGCACATGTCAGGCAAAAACAAACATCTGTCTGTCTCAAGTAGTGTGCAGTAGTAGACTGTGTAGACATGTAGAACTGGGGCACATGTCAGGCAAGCACCATCATTTGTCTGTCTCGAGTAGTGTGCAGTAGTAGACTGTGTAGACATGTAGAACTGGGGCACATGTCAGGCAAGCACCATCATTTGTCTGTCTCAAGTAATGTGCAGTAGTAGACTGTGTAGATGTAGACCTGGGGCACATGTCAGGCAAGCACCATCATTTGTCTATCTCGGGTAGTGTGCAGTAGTAGACTGTGTAGACATGTAGAACTGGGGCACATGTCAGGCAAGCACCATCATTTGTCTATCTCGGGTAGTGTGCAGTAGTAGACTGTGTAGACATGTAGAACTGGGGCACATGTCAGGCAAACACAAACATCTGTCTGTCTCGAGTAGTGTGCAGTAGTAGACTGTGTAGACATGTAGAACTGGGGCACATGTCAGGCAAGCACCATCATTTGTCTATCTCGAGTAGTGTGCAGTTGTAGACTGTGTAGATGTAGACCTGGGGCACATGTCAGGCAAGCACCATGATTTGTCTATCTCGGGTAGTGTGCAGTAGTAGACTGTGTAGACATGTAGAACTGGGGCACATGTCAGGCAAACACAAACATCTGTCTGTCTCGAGTAGTGTGCAGTAGTAGACTGTGTAGACATGTAGAACTGGGGCACATGTCAGGCAAGCACCATGATTTGTCTATCTCGAGTAGTGTGCAGTAGTAGACTGTGTAGACATGTAGAACTGGTGCACATGTCAGGCAAGCACCATCATTTGTCTATCTCGGGTAGTGTGCAGTAGTAGACTGTGTAGACATATAGAACTGGGGCACATGTCAGGCAAGCACCATCATTTGTCTATCTCGGGTAGTGTGCAGTAGTAGACTGTGTAGACATGTAGAACTGGGGCACATGTCAGGCAAGCACCATCATTTGTCTATCTTGGGTAGTGTGCAGTAGTAGACTGTGTAGACATGTAGAACTGGGGCACATGTCAGGCAAGCACCATCATTTGTCTATCTCGGGTAGTGTGCAGTAGTAGACTGTGTAGACATGTAGAACTGGGGCACATGTCAGGCAAACACCAACATCTGTCTGTCTCGGGTAGTGTGCAGTAGTAGACATGTAGAACTGGGGCACATGTCAGGCAAGCACCATCATTTGTCTTTCTCGAGTAGTGTGCAGTAGTAGACTGTGTAGACATGTAGAACTGGGGCACATGTCAGGCAAACACCAACATCTTTCTGTCTCGAGTAGTGTGCAGTAGTAGACTGTGTAGACATGTAGAACTGAGGCACATGTCAAGTAAGCACTATCATTTGTCTGTCTCGGGTAGTGTGCAGTAGTAGACTGTGTAGACATGTAAAACTGGGGCACATGTCAGGCAAACACCAACATCTTTCTGTCTCAAGTAGTGTGCAGTAGTAGACTGTGTAGACATGTAGAACTGAGGCACATGTCAAGTAAGCACCATCATTTGTCTATCTCGAGTAATGTGCAGTAGTAGACTGTGTAGATGTAGAACTGGGGCACATGTCAGGCAAGCACCATCATTTGTCTATCTCGAGTAGTGTGCAGTAGTAGACTGTGTAGACATGTAGAACTGGGGCACATGTCAGGCAAGCACCATCATTAGTCTATCTCAAGTAGTGTGCAGTAGTAGACTGTGTAGATGTAGAACTGGGGAACATGTCAGGCAAGCACCAACATTTGTCTGTCTCGAGTAGTGTGCAGTAGTAGACTGTGTAGACATGTAGAACTGGGGCACATGTCAGACAAACACAAACATCTGTCTGTCTCGGGTAGTGTGCAGTAGTAGACTGTGTAGACATGTAGAACTGGGGCACATGTCAGACAAACACAAACATCTGTCTGTCTCGGGTAGTGTGCAGTAGTAGACTGTGTAGATGTAGAACTGGGGAACATGTCAGGCAAGCACCAACATTTGTCTGTCTCGAGTAGTGTGCAGTAGTAGACTGTGTAGACATGTAGACCTGGGGCACATGTCAGACAAACACAAACATCTGTCTGTCTCGGGTAGTGTGCAGTAGTAGACTGTGTAGACATGTAGAACTGGGGAACACGTCAGACAAACACAAACATCTGTCTGTCTCGGGTAGTGTGCAGTAGTAGACTGTGTAGACATGTAGAACTGGGGCACATGTCAGGCAAGCACCATGATTTGTCTGTCTCGAGTAGTGTGCAGTAGTAGACTGTGTAGATGTAGAACTGGGGAACATGTCAGGCAAGCACCATCATTTGTCTATCTTGAGTAGTGTGCAGTAGTAGACTGTGTAGATGTAGACCTGCGGCACATGTCAGGCAAACACAAACATCTGTCTGTCTCGAGTAGTGTGCAGTAGTAGACTGTGTAGACATGTAGAACTGGGGCACATGTCAGGCAAGCACCATAATTTGTCTATCTCGAGTAGTGTGCAGTAGTAGACTGTGTAGACATGTAGAACTGGGGCACATGTCAGGCAAGCACCATCATTTGTCTATCTCGGGTAGTGTGCAGTAGTAGACTGTGTAGACATGTAGAACTGGGGCACATGTCAGGCAAGCACCATCATTTGTCTATCTCGGGTAGTGTGCAGTAGTAGACTGTGTAGACATGTAGACCTGGGGCACATGTCAGGCAAGCACCATGATTTGTCTATCTCGGGTAGTGTGCAGTAGTAGACTGTGTAGACATGTAGACCTGGGGCACATGTCAGGCAAACACAAACATCTGTCCGTCTCGAGTAGTGTGCAGTAGTAGACTGTGTAGATGTAGACATTGGGCACATGTCAGGCAAACACAAACATCTGTCTGTCTCAAGTAGTGTGCAGTAGTAGACTGTGTAGACATGTAGAACTGGGGCACATGTCAGGCAAGCACCATCATTTGTCTGTCTCGAGTAGTGTGCAGTAGTAGACTGTGTAGACATGTAGAACTGAGGCACATGTCAAGTAAGCACCATCATTTGTCTATCTCGAGTAATGTGCAGTAGTAGACTGTGTAGATGTAGAACTGGGGCACATGTCAGGCAAGCACCATCATTTGTCTATCTCGAGTAGTGTGCAGTAGTAGACTGTGTAGACATGTAGAACTGGGGCACATGTCAGGCAAGCACCATCATTAGTCTATCTCAAGTAGTGTGCAGTAGTAGACTGTGTAGATGTAGAACTGGGGAACATGTCAGGCAAGCACCAACATTTGTCTGTCTCGAGTAGTGTGCAGTAGTAGACTGTGTAGACATGTAGAACTGGGGCACATGTCAGACAAACACAAACATCTGTCTGTCTCGGGTAGTGTGCAGTAGTAGACTGTGTAGACATGTAGAACTGGGGCACATGTCAGACAAACACAAACATCTGTCTGTCTCGGGTAGTGTGCAGTAGTAGACTGTGTAGACATGTAGAACTGGGGAACATGTCAGACAAACACAAACATCTGTCTGTCTCGGGTAGTGTGCAGTAGTAGACTGTGTAGACATGTAGACCTGGGGCACATGTCAGACAAACACAAACATCTGTCTGTCTCGGGTAGTGTGCAGTAGTAGACTGTGTAGATGTAGAACTGGGGAACATGTCAGGCAAGCACCAACATTTGTCTGTCTCGAGTAGTGTGCAGTAGTAGACTGTGTAGACATGTAGACCTGGGGCACATGTCAGACAAACACAAACATCTGTCTGTCTCGGGTAGTGTGCAGTAGTAGACTGTGTAGACATGTAGAACTGGGGAACACGTCAGACAAACACAAACATCTGTCTGTCTCGGGTAGTGTGCAGTAGTAGACTGTGTAGACATGTAGAACTGGGGCACATGTCAGGCAAGCACCATGATTTGTCTGTCTCGAGTAGTGTGCAGTAGTAGACTGTGTAGATGTAGAACTGGGGAACATGTCAGGCAAGCACCATCATTTGTCTATCTTGAGTAGTGTGCAGTAGTAGACTGTGTAGATGTAGACCTGCGGCACATGTCAGGCAAACACAAACATCTGTCTGTCTCGAGTAGTGTGCAGTAGTAGACTGTGTAGACATGTAGAACTGGGGCACATGTCAGGCAAGCACCATAATTTGTCTATCTCGAGTAGTGTGCAGTAGTAGACTGTGTAGACATGTAGAACTGGGGCACATGTCAGGCAAGCACCATCATTTGTCTATCTCGGGTAGTGTGCAGTAGTAGACTGTGTAGACATGTAGAACTGAGGCACATGTCAGGCAAGCACCATCATTTGTCTATCTCGGGTAGTGTGCAGTAGTAGACTGTGTAGACATGTAGACCTGGGGCACATGTCAGGCAAGCACCATGATTTGTCTATCTCGGGTAGTGTGCAGTAGTAGACTGTGTAGACATGTAGACCTGGGGCACATGTCAGGCAAACACAAACATCTGTCTGTCTCGAGTAGTGTGCAGTAGTAGACTGTGTAGATGTAGACATTGGGCACATGTCAGGCAAACACAAACATCTGTCTGTCTCAAGTAGTGTGCAGTAGTAGACTGTGTAGACATGTAGAACTGGGGCACATGTCAGGCAAGCACCATCATTTGTCTGTCTCGAGTAGTGTGCAGTAGTAGACTGTGTAGACATGTAGAACTGGGGCACATGTCAGGCAAGCACCATCATTTGTCTGTCTCAAGTAATGTGCAGTAGTAGACTGTGTAGATGTAGACCTGGGGCACATGTCAGGCAAGCACCATCAT